TGCAGTCCTTTACCCCCAGCGTATCAGAAATTGGTCTAACAGTGGGAAAAGTCTTTAGTTCAGCAACATCTGCTCTGCTGTGAGTGTCCAAAGGCCCTTACAGCTCAACACCACCTCTGTGGCTGTGACACACAGAGAGACCAGGCACTTCGTTACCAGTGAAGCATATTGCAGTAAGTCTTCAGATATTTCCTTGGCTTTCATCTTGGAAATAAAGTACTGATTTTTACCTCAATTTCATGAGAGGAAGCACAAGTTTTCCCAGTGTGAAAGTTCAGGCGGGCGTTATGAAGTTGTTGGTATTTCACCAACCTGCAGGGAGCAGCAACTCAAGAGGGGGAAAAAAAAAGTCTGTGCTGTCTTGGCAGTGAACAGTGACATGAACTTTGACATGCTGGGGTGTGATGAGATGGGAATATCAGCCTTGCCTCCCTGGAAAGTAAATAGTCTGAATGAAAGCAGAGATGTTTCCATCCAGTCTGTGACAGTCCCCCGACTCAGACAAGGTCTTTGTGGGAGCCACGTGCTTTCTTACTTATCTCTTTGCAAAAGCTGACCTGCATTTGGCACACTGCTCCACTGCACTTTATCTCTGTTCAAATACACTTCTGTGTGCTACTGCACTGTGCTCACCTCTGCAACTGGGCTGATTATTTGGCATGGAATTTCCAGCCAGCAGAGATATGTTATGCAACTAATTATTGCCAGGCTGGGTGCTCTCTCCCATCAGCTGGGAGGGCAGTGGTTGAGATTATAGCATGCTTTGTAAAACGTGTAGTGAGAGCTGTATGAGAGCATTGGGCTGGAAAGCCAGACCTACATAGGAGGGCGTTAAGGTCCCTTTCCAGCTTCACAGCCAACTTCTCACCTGGTTTCTGCCTTGGTGCAGAAGTTCAGTAGTTCCCTCCTGGCTGTTTGGAGCAGCATTGCCTGGAGACTAAACCAAACAATTCCTTTCTTTCTCTGCCTTCAGCCCCACCCCAAAACTTCAGAGAAAAATATGCAGGCGGGGGCACACCTCTGTGCTTGGGATCCCTCCTAGCTGTGAGGTGCTCAAGCCTGAGCACCTGAGACCTGGGGACATTAAAACCAGTTAAAATGCAAAAACTGGTATAGTATAAAGTACTAGCAGAGGTCTTTGACATGTCGATTATATACTTATATTTCCTGAGGCTTAAAGGTTTATTGATGCAATAAATACAGCCGCAGAAATGAGTGGATTTCTTTTGCCAAGTTTTCTGTTTCTGGGGAGCTGTTGTTTGACTTTGTTTGTTTAGAAATAATTTTCTGTCCAGATGTGTTGTGATGCAGTAGGAATTGCTAAAAAATGGAGCTAAGACACATTGTATGAAGCTGGTCAGCAGTTGCTACGCTGCCAAAAATGTTAATGAAAGGCACTGGCTCACTGTGTGTATGCCTAGTGCATATGCCAGAGCATATGTTTGTTAATGGAAGCTCTACTTAAGAGCTACTTCAAATAATAATTTAAAATAAAATAGATAAATAAAATAAAACTTCCCCCACAGAGCTTCATCTCCTGAGGACTGGCAAATGTCACTGGGCTAGAGCAGATTAAAAGATATTAAATTTGTTTCCTTTTCTTACTTGTTCCCCCTCTCAACTGGTTCAAATTGTTCCATGAGAAATACCATGGCAGGCAGCTGTCTGCTTCATGGTTGTTGTGGAAAATTCAACTTTAAATAAATAAAGAAATAATCTGAAGCTAAAGAGGGCAGCTGTGTAAAGTTCAGTGATTACTTATTTATTTATTTTACTTTTTCCTACTCAGAGGCTCTTTTACCCCTCAGAGCTGAGCTGTGCCCTGGTGCACCAGGATTCCTGATGGGGTCCCCGCCTTCTGAGCAGAGACCTGGCACCACAGCTCACACTGGACAGGGATCCCTGAAGGTTTGCCTGTCTCCAAAGGCACTTCCTCATCTTCTTCAGGTCCTGGGCACTCTCTTCATGTCAGCTGATGGCAGGAGTGCAGGAGACATCCCTGGAGTGCTGTCTCCCTACCTCACCCTGTGTAGAAAGAGTCAATAAATTTTTCTGGAAAGGACAGTCATTTTCTGGCCAGCCCTCTTGCCTTGTTCAGTAGGTCAGGAATCCACACAGGGTTGGATTTTCTCATGATATTGATGAGATAATTCCATAATATATCTCAGACAAGAGAGCAACCCTCTGTGCTGCAGGTAGAGCCAGATAAAAGCACGAACATACCTATAGAAAAATAAAGAAAGGGATTTGAAAGACCAGGTTTGTGATAAGACTTCTGGTACTTTGCCTACACAGAGTTTGACCAAACTCAGTTTAATCTAAACTGGTTAATCAGACTCCCAATAAGACGATAAAGATATTTTGTGTTTGTCTAGTGTTATAAAAGCAGCTACAGTTCAGACACAGTTGCACCTCTATCCTTTGATCTATTTTTAGTTATAATAACTGCAGTAGTGGTGTATTTTAAAACTTGTGGTAAGTCTGACTGATAAAGAGATGAATTGAGAGGAATAGAATTGCTTCTAGTCCAGCATGATGCTGTGGAAAAGTTGTTTTTGCAAGCGAATTTGATCTCATTTCAAAACTGCACTCTCAGCCTCCTAAGAGGGATGACATGTGACAGCACAGATCTGGCAGAAGAAGTTAAGAAGGAATTAGCAGTTAGCAGTCACTCTCTGTCCACGTAGGAACTGTGTTAGTGTTGCTTCTTACTGACAGATTCTTAAAAGATTCCTGGTCTGACCTGAGAGATATCTTTTTTATCTTTTTGTTTTTTTAAGGGTGGACTTTTTTTTTTTTTTTTCCTGCAGTGTAGTCCTATTCAAAATTAACAAAAAGCTTCTGTTGACTTGTGATACTTACTGGGGTGAATACTGCAAAGGACTGGATTTTCCAGTCCAGCAAGTGAAAGAAGGTGTCTGCATGCTGGAGATGTGAGTGCAAGAACCAAGTCAGCTACAACCTTGTGTGGCTCTGGGCACCACTTGTGTGCCCAAGCTTTTCAATTGTAAAATCATCCTAAGCAGCACTTCTTGGAATCACAGGAAAACAAAAAAGCAATTTATTACTAAACACCTGGGACCTATTTTGGGCAAGTTGGAGGGTCAGCTTAAGTCTCTGGTGGTACGTGAGCATCTATCTCTACACAGCAATTTTCTGTGCCAAACTAAAATGGGAGACAGGTTCTTTCCTAACAATGTACAAAGAGTTTGTGATTAATAGTAAGGTCACATGAATAGCTGCCAAGGACTTGCATTTTTGCAGCATGGGGTATTGGTTCAGAGACAGTGCTTGTGCTTGTCAGTGGCGCTGATAAGACATGAAGTGTTGGAAGGTGATTGTACAAATTGACCTGTTGTCACCTAAGTGTGTCTTGAATGATGGATGAGACAGAAGCTGCTGGTCTGTGGCCTGTAATTCCTTGGAATACCAGATGCAGAGATCACCTCAAAGAACACATGGGCTGCCTTCTGTAACCTCAGAGTGGGTAAGTTTGGGAGGGACCATTGGAGGTCATCTAGTCCAACCTCCCTGCTCCTGCAGAGTTCCCAGGAGCACATTACTCAGGACTGTGCCAGATGGCTTTTGAATATCTTCAGGGAAGAGATCTCTATAACCTCTCTGGGCAATCTGTTCCAGTGCTCAGTTGCTCTCACTGAAAACAAGTTCTTCCTCAAGTTCATGTGCCTCAGTTTCTGCCTGTTGCCTCTTGCCCTATTGCTTGGAACCACCGAGCAGAGCCTGGATTCATCCTCTGACACCTCCCTTTCCAATACTTATATATATTGATGGAGTCCCCTCTCAGCCATCTTCTCTTTAGGCTGAACAGGCCCAGCTCCCTCAGCCTTTCCTTGTTAATGAGGCGCTCCAGTTCCCTAATCATCTTTGTAGCCCTGTTCTGGACTTGCTCCAGGAGCTCCATAATAATCTTCAAATGGTGACCAAGATTACAGTGATTTCATCCCATATCATCTAATGAATGTGGTGAAGGTCCTAATGCCCACCACACATCGAGAGGAAAAGTCCCAGGAGGCTAACCAACATCTACAGTGGGTGGGGGTGTTCTCTCCCTGTGGAGTTTTGCTGTACTCAGTTATTCTTTAGAGCAGTTTCTCTTCCTCTGGAAAAAAAAGAGAGGTTTAGAGAGCTTGCACTTATGGGGAAATGTGAACTTTTGTGTATGTTTGCTACAAATACGAGAAAGATACACTTTTCAAGTTGGAAAAGCAACTAATAAAGTTTCTTTGGCACAGCACGAGGGGCTACTGAGAAAGGTGTCTGGAGTCAGGGTTGTTGAAGAGGAAGAAGAGAGTGCTTTTTTTGAGCAAAAGAGATATTTTAGCTCTCACAGGTAAAAAGATTTAAAAAATAAATTTGACTACAGGACAGATGGATTCAGATCACTAAGTAGCAACACATGTTTTCTCTTGGGACTTTCCATTTGTGGTTTACCAGCCATGCCACAACAACTGTCTTTCACTTTTCTGTGAAAGTGAGTCCATTTCTTAGAGTCTTGCTCCAAACCTGCATCAAGTGTTGCTCTCCTGTGCATGGATTTAACTTTCTTGGGATATGCAGTTCATGTGAGCTGCTACTTTTAATGAAGACAGACAGAGGGATGCTGGTGCTCAAGTGCAGCACTGAACTGGGACAGTGCAATGAGCTGGTTTCAATTCTGGAAGCAGGAGTGTTGTACCTCTGCTCTGCTTGGGGTTGTAAATTTGGGTGAGAAATGGATGTATCAGCCCAGGCTTAGTGCTGCCTTCAGGTTACTGCAGGGGTTTCACTGAGTCTGCTCAAGGTATTTTGTTGTGGGAGACAAAAAAAAAGCAAAGGTGGTCAAGTCCGTGTTGCATTGGTCTATCCTCATCTGAGGGCTTTGGAAAGGAGCACTCGTGTGCCCTGGGGAATGTGGCTGAAAGTAAAACTGCCGCTTTGGTTGGGGGCAATGGTTTGGAGTGACTTGTATTTGCGTGCTGGTAGATTTAGTCAAACACCCAGAAGAGGGAGCGGATTTTATTTACAATATAAACATGGCACGTGAAGACAAAAACTCTGTTATTACAAAACTCCTACATCCTTCGAATGGAAACAGACAACTGCCATCTAGGACCCTCTAAAAATAGCTGGAAGCCCAAACCAGCTGAAAGCACAGATTTTGCAAGAACAGGCTTTTGCATTTAGATGTATCCATGAAGTAGAACAGAGGTAAGGAAGTCCAACCAGTCTAGATTAGTTTAACAACATGTTGTGGGGTGACTGCTCGGTCACTTCTTACATCTCTGAACTGTTGTAGTTCTTCTTGCAGTTGTAGAATATAAAAGCTGGAAAATTGTTTAGGGAAAAGGGTTCTGTCAGTTACAGCAGCACCAAAGAGGCCGCACAAAACAACTTCATGTGATAGATAACAAGGACAGGTCTGCAGGACTTCTTATTGAACCACTAGGAAATGGTTACCCTGCACATCTGCAGGGGTGTTATTCACATTTTTAAGGTGTCTGCAAGCTCTCTTCAAGCAAATTGCCTTCAGGGTTCACTGAAGACGAGATCTGGACTCAGAAAATATCTAACACCTCTCATGAACACGAGAGAAGCACAACTATCCAGCTTGGAGCCTCCTTGGGGGTATTGCTTTGACAAAAGCTAGCTGCTGCACTGTTGCCAAATGACAAATGACAAATGTTGCCAATGCCAAATGACAAACAACCCAAAATTAACATAACAGAAAGCACTATTTTTAATTGGTCAGAATTCCACAGCTTGTTCTCTCACATCGTACGCTCTGACTTCTGTAAAAAGCGAAAATCCCCTTTTCAGTGGAACATCTGGTAAAAAACAAAATGTTGCTATCAAGTGCATTTAAAGAAGGCCCTCTTATGTTAAAACATTCAGTGCTTAAACTGGTCATTTTTGGAGGACTGGGTCAAAATGTTCTGCCTAGTTCTGCACACAATAACATGCAGCTGGTGAAACCAGACAATGAAAAGGATGTACTGTAGAGAGAGAAACATGGAAAGGGTTACAATTCTCACTTTGCAGAGTCCTTTGGTTTTATTCCTTTATTTTAGCTGCCTTTCTTCACATCCAGTAGTCATCATCACAGTGAGGTGACATAGCAAGAACTTCCCATGCTCCTGAAATGCAGTTGCTTCTGCTTCCAGCAAAGTCCTCACAGATGATGATGAGAGACTGGACAGTCACCAACTTCCAGTGCTCTGGCCCAGAGCAGTTGAGTCCCAGGCTCACTGCATTCCTCAGTGCAGATACTGAAATCCCTGACAATCACAGAGGACTGTCCCAGGTGCTTCACTGGAGTGGTGACACAACTGCTGTGTGGACACAGTCAGTGGCTGAAATGAAAATCCTGCAGATTTTCTTGTCTCTTGTGTTGGAGAAGCTTTTTTCAGTTTGGATTTTTTTTTTTTTTTTGCCATCTCTCTTGGCAGAAATTCATCACTTGTATTACAAACAATGCTGCCACTGAGACAGGGAATGATGCTTCTCTTGCCACATCTCCAGCTGCCCAAATTGTTGGCAGACTTTCCATTTAGGCAGGTGCTGTAAAAACAGAACAATTTCTTTTCAGGAAAAAACCCAACCAAACAAACAAAAAACCCAAAACACAACAAAACCAAAAAACCTCCCCACAAAATAATCACGTCCTACCACTGTTTTTTCTACCTAATCAGTGGGACAAGCTGCAAAGTTATGGTAAAGACATATTCATGCTGCTGAGAGAGAACTGGCTGGTGTCTCTGCCTGGGTATCCAAGAAACTGGGGGCTTTCTGTCCTTGTTCCACAATCTTGAAGTGCCTCTCCGTGCAAATGCAAAAAGGACACTCCTGCTAACATCCCCCTCCCTTGTCAGGGGATGCCAGTGTCACCATGGGTTCACTTTAAACTACTTCAGAGACTGAGAAGCACAAATCCTGTCTGTGGTCAAGGGAAAACAGCTTTCCGAGGCTCCTCTTAGGAAGTGAGGGGATCCCTCCAGAGAGCAATTCAGAAATGCCCTAGCTCCGAATTTCTCCTCACCAGAGCACTCTGCCCTACTTTATAATGGGCGTCTGAAGAGAGTGATGGAGTCTTGACAGCCTGGACAAACTCTCTGTCCCAGTGCTCAACATTACATATTTTTACTTAACATCCAGCCTAAATCTCCTTTGTTTAAGTCTGTTGGGCCTTAAGTGCTGTGTCAGCTGGGTTAGCACAATAAATAACTTGTCCCATCCTCTCTAAGGACACTCTGAAGAGGGTTGTTTATTGTGTCCTTAATCAGCCTTGCCTTCTCCAGCCTAAACAAACACAACCAATCTTCCATCAGGTCCCTAGATCATTCTCATTTCTCTGGTATTTGTCCAAGTTGCCCTTAAATTGGGATACCTAGAAGATGGTGGGACAACTTCTGATAGCAGTGAGCCACCAAAGCTGCTGTCCCACCTCCTCTTCCACAAAAGGTGTGGAGACATGCCAAGGAAAAGATAGTGTCTGGAAAGCAAGTATCTTTGCTTTGTTTTTAATGAACAACTCATGCTACAACAGCCTTCAAAATAAGACAAATATTTACTCTTATTTAAGACACAGATATTTTTCTATTTACGAGCAAAGTCAAGGGCCTTGTATAAGTAAGTATGTAAAGGAAGTTGACCTTAAATGAGCTGCCTATGTTATGTTAATGTAGTGCACAGGAACAAAATGAGAAACTCTCTTTATTTTAAGGAGAAAATCCATCCTCTTCCCTACATTATGCTCTGCTGAAAACAGTGCAATGCCTGTTGTTGTTTACGCTGTTGTTGGGGATCAGGCTGTGGTCTGGAAAATAACTGACCATTAACCCAGTTTCCATGACCACCAAATAAGTTCCAGAACAAGTTTGTTAGTTTGCAGGATTATTTTGCTTTTGCTTGATACTATGAATTGGGTACATTCACAGCATCTGCTACAGCTGTGAGTTAAAGCTACATGCTTTAACTATTACAGCTTTTGTGAAATCACAGTATTTTCTGCCTGTTCTGCAGAGACACACAGGCAACGGTCATCTGCTCAAGTAGAAACTACCAAAGGAAATATGAAATAGGCAGACATTTCAACCTCTCTATACTCTCCAAGTCCCCCTGTTCTGAGTTTGTTTTTCCAAATCTATCTTCATTTTTTTGGCCTATTTTTATTTTTCTCCCACTATAAATGGTAAATGAATCTGTAAAACAGCTGGCCTGCCATATTGCATTATTGCTTATAAAAAATATGAACATGTTGAAGGTCTGAACTGTGTATTTTTTTTCTGGGAGAGAGCTTTATTTTAGTTGGGTGTATAAAGGCTCAGGTTCATAGGCATAAAGAAAATTATGTTCCTGTATCCCAGTTAAAGACCTTTTAGGGTGCTGTGCCTAAAAAGGCAAGGAAGCTGGTGATATGCACTGAGGTGATGTGAGGTGGTAAATGGTCAGTGTTGTCCAGACTTGAAAAATCAGCATTTAAGGCAGATTTTCCAAGTTTGATGCTGTCTTCATGGCAATGAAGCTTCAGCATAGTTGTAGAACAAGAAGGGGGGGTGGCTTCAGCCTCCCTGTTCCCTGTTGATTGTTCCATGTTCTCTCTTGATTTGTCATGTCCTTTGGCCTGAACTGTTGAAGGAACTTTGGGAACTAAGACTCTCAGGCTGCCTTTGCCAACATTTACAGACCTCAAGGAAAGGGCTGGCAGAAGAAGTCGGGCTCCTACTTTACATGCTTGAGCTTGTTACATCCAACATGTCTAATCTAAGAGCTTTGTGCTGAACTTGAGTACCAAAGCTCTGAAGTTAAGTCACTCTCAAGACAATATACAATAATATATTTTTAATACTTACGATTGAGTCCTCCTTCGTATTCATTTGGTGGGACATCTGTCAAAACAAATTCACAGGTTTAAGCATGTAGGGTAGATAACTACAGTGTTTATCCAAATGAGATCAATATTAAGCAACATCCACCAAAGCTGAGGGCTCAATGTGCTAAATGCTCTTTAAAGAGCAAAATGCAGGACTTACTGCATTTTCTTACAACATAGCTGACCATTTCAGGAAGCACAGATTTGGGTAATAAAATAATGAGGTAGTAGTAGAGTCCTGCACCCCCCTTGGGTTGTTTCTAGGGGAAGGACACAACTTCTAGAACAGCTGCTGCAGATGCTGGACAAGATCACTACCCTGCTTTCTCCTGCTCTTTTTTGAGGCACCCAGGCTTGCTAGCATGGAGGAAGAGGGCATGGATTGAAAATGAGGATTGTCCTTGTCCATGAAAAGTCTGGTTGTCCCTGCTCCCTCTTCTCAGGTGTTAGCTCCTGTACAGCTGTAAAGTGGCTTACAGCAAGTACTGACATATGTTGGCAGACTCAGCCTGGTTCATGAGACCTCTTTTAGAGCTCCCTTTCGTTCTGTTATGCCAAGCACTGATGTCATGCACGTGGGCAAACGCAGCAACGCCAGGGTACTCGTGTGACAGTGAGACAAGCTATATTTCTAACACGTAGAAAGCTGCTTGATCCCAGTGGGATCCTGACCCTTAATTGTCCAGCCAGTGACTCTAAAGCTCTCAGGACTGAATTATGCTCTGATTTCTGCTTCAGACTGTGCTAAGCAGAGCGAGCTACTGACCCCAGTTCTGTTCTGTGGAGGAGCATCCCCTCCATCTGTCCAGAAACAGCCTGAAGGAATCACAGCTGACGAACTATGGCCTGAACAGGCACAAAGTCTGAGTTACTCTCACATCCAGCTGTTAACTCCCGTGAGGCTCAGGCACAAGAGCAGAAAACCATAAAGAATAACATGCCCTGGGGCACTGTGTGCCATCCCCAGGGCACCACAGGTTTTTGATAACAGCATGATTTCCTGCAGTGTGCACTTCCCTGCGTGCAGGCAGCTTAGCTGTACCTTCCAGTGGCACACTGGATAACATTAAGTACATTTGTAAGTGAAAAAGGATCCTTAAGGTATTTGGTCATGCAAATGAAGTGTCTCATTACCTGTGTAGGACACCAGATGGGAGGACCTCCGTCGTCTCCACAGCCAGCAGAATAAAACAGCTAGAAGGCCTATCAGAATGACAATGCAAATGATGCCAGCTGCTTGAGCAACTCGTCCTTTTTTTCCTAGGTTTTCTGTGCTAGAACCGTTGCTTTGCTTCTGCTCTGTGTCTAGAATAAAATAGAAAGGAAATGTTCACACTTCGTACCAGACAAATATTTCACCAAATTTTACGTGTATAAAAAAATTCTGAAGGACTAAATATTTGTGCTGTTTGTATCACTGGTGATTTCTTCTGAGCAAGGCACATCTCCAGCTAATAGTTATAATGCAATACCAGTTTACTCTTCCCTGTCACCACACTGCATCCATCCTTCTTTCTTCCTTCTTGTTCTTCTTTCCTGACAGCCTTGAGAGACTTTATGTTTGGGCTTGTACTCAGTTAAAAATAAATCTATACAGAATCTATAATGGAAATCTGAATGTATTCAGAAAAGTGAATGAAAACCTGTTTCCCTGAAATTAATGGAGAATCTTCACCTACTGCTGCAAACTGAAGGTTTTAAATTGCATCTCTTACTATTTCAAGTGTGATGTGCTTTTAAAACCAAAAAAATAGTAATATGAGGCTCTTTTCCCCCAGAAGACTATATGACAGAATGCCATTAAGAAACTTATGACAAGGTTACTCAGTTTTTCTTTAATTTGGGATGACAGCACAGTATATTATCTTATAAACCCTCTACTTTTGCTCATGTGCATAGCTTTTGTTCCTGGAAATAGTTTATGTAGTTTGCCCATGTTTGTGGGATCAGTGTTGTTAAGTCCAGAGTATGTGATTCCTTGGGGTACACAAGTTGTGGGTATCCAGCTAGAGTTATGCAAACAATCCAACCTCTTTGCACCAGGGTGCAGAAACCTGTGAGAGAAAGGAGTGGCTGGAGATAGGACCAGGAACATCAGTGAGATCAAAGAGCCACCTCCAGGTAAGCCTTCCCACTCCAGACAGCTTCTCTACACAGTTTTTTTGAAATAATGAACTCCAGCAGGGAGTAGCTCTAACTTTATAGCTGCTTTTTTAATTATTATTATTTTATTTTTTATTTAGCTTTCTGGTTTTGTGAAGAATTAAGTGGCTAAATATTTGCTTTTTCTATGATGACTCACATTAGCAATAAATAGCATATGATATTTGTGGTATTGGGTGTATTTTTCTATTCAGCTAACATTACCCATTTGCTGCAGGCCTGCTTTAAATAGTGCCCTGCGCTGAATTGAGTTTTGGAGACTGAAAGCTGAACTTTGAAACCAGGCAGAGTAAAAAGTAAATATGAGTGCTGCAAAGCAGTTGGGTAGGAGGTCAGAAATCATGGATCTGCTGCATGGTGGCCCTTGAAAAATAACTTAATCCCCAAAGTCACCATGTTCCCAAGGAACCAAAGGATAAAACACAGTGACTGCCTTGCATGCACGAGCTCCTCAGTGCTGTTGGCATCATACACTTGATGGGGTATTCACTTCAGTGTGGAAGAAGTAAACCTAAAGTGCATGGCTGGCATAACTAGCTTGAAACAAAACCTGAGCACCTCTTGGAACTACTGAATTAACGCATAGCCCTCGTTAGCATGTATCTACAGACAGAGACACACTGGTTGGTGCTCCTGCTATCTAGAAAACATGAAGCAGCATGAAAGAACTTACAGTTGGCTGACAGATTTTCCTGCAGCATTTCATTTTCTATGGAGCACTCTATTTGCATGTTGGAAGTGGCTTTCACTGTCAGGGTGCTGAAAACGCTGTAGGTGCCGTCGGCGTGGGAGTTGAACTCCAGCGTTGATGCAGTCAGGAGGCTGTTGTTCATTTTATTTATCCAATAAACTTTGGGCTTTGGGTATCCATTGCCAGACCTGCAGCTGAAAGTCACCTCCTCTCCAGTGCTATTTCTTATTGGTCCACTGAGTATTGGTTGGCTGTAACTAGCTGGAGAGCAAGAGAAGAAGAAATAGTCGTCGATACTTTGAAACATATTGAGAAGACAAAATTCTGACGAGGGCTCTGAAGCAGAACTTCTGAGTTTCACATAACCTTCATAACTTGCAAGGGAAACACCTGCAGGTTTGGTGTGTAAGCCCAGAGAGCTGAGAGAATTACTGGAAGGGCAGAAAGCTAAAGCTAAACCCAAAGGAAGAAAGCAACTTCTTGAGCTGCTGTCACCCAGTCACGTGTAAGAGCCTTTATATTAATGAAAAACAAGATGAATCGAAATACACACTGGATAAATAGTTGTTACAGGTGTTCTCCCAGGTTTAGATTCCCTGTCTGCAACATTGAAGTTAAGCAGACATCATTACAACAAAGGGCTGCAGAATGTTTCCAAGGGTGTGCTTAAACATAATACTGAAAAACTGAAATGAGAATCTGGGCAAATATATGCAAGTGACACAAGTTCTCACCTGCTAAACTGAGGACCACTTCTTCCTGGTGAACCACTTTGGTAAGTTCTCTTTTCTCCTGTACTATACATTGGTACGTATGGTTATCACTCTGCCTGACATTCAGTAGCAGTAGAGAAAAATCACCATTTTCCAATCTGTCCCCGAATAACTGAGTCCTGTTTTTAAAGTGAATGCACTGATTACTGTAGTTGTCTCGACCAGAGATCAGTGTGTGCACAACTGAACACGTGACTTGACCAGCGATTTGCCAATATACCCGTAGATTTTTTAATTGCAAGTCTCTTTTGTTGTAAGTGCAGCTTAGTGTAGCGTTGTCTCCAAGTTTACTGACGACGTGCTTCTTCTCTAGTGCAATAACTGCAGGATTAAAAGAGAGAGAGAAAAATGGGAGGTTATGTGGAAAAAGGGTCATTGTTTTCAAGTACATTCTACCACATACAGACTCCAGTATTCGTATTTATAACAGGTGGATGTTGTCCAAAGGGACCTTTTTATGAGGACCAACTAGTCTTAAGCGTTCCCAGCCCCGTGGATACCCACATGTTGCACTTTACCCACCGACTGCAGACACATATTCAAGCCCTAATACTTTAATAATCACTTGGGATATTTTTTAACTAAGAAAAATTCTAAGTATCACTGGATAAATCACAAGAAGGGGAAACACTGATAAGAAAAAGACTGCTATCATTATTTTGAGATGAAAAAAATTAAGAAGGGGACTAAAAGCAGTGTTTCTCAAAGCATGCATGTCAGAGAAATCACATTTAATTGCTACTATCAGTGACACCCTCTCAACAAACACACACAGATGGCAAACCAGCCTGGCCAGATACCTCCAATGACACATCCATTAGATGTTTAAAACTTTAGTGTCACTTGAGATACATCAGGACCGTATTAGGCTTTCAGAAAACTTTTCCTGCCTTCCAGACATGAGAAAGGCAGCCTCTCCTCCTGGTAAGCAAGGGGGAGGTGTGACCTGACTGGCAAGTGATGCAGAAAGCACAGTGACACCAGGAGGGCCAGGGCAGATCTGCCCACAGCTTCCCTGCTGAGGGGGCACCACTTCTTCCCCCCAGCACCCAAAACCTCCTTGGTGCAACTGGCTGCTGACACCAAAGCAGTGTGTGTGTTGTAAGTGTCAGGTTTGGGGGTGAGAGGGGGTCAGGCATGGGGTTGGATGGCAGAGATTACATCTGGGGGAAGGGATTGTGTGGGTGGATGATTTAGGGAAAGAAAGATGACAGGAGTGAAGGTTTGGAAATGCAGAAACAGGGCATGGTGAGGTGGGAGGGAGGCATCAATATTAAAGGGGGACCTGTGTTTGTGAGGGTGCCCTGAACTCAGAAATAGCTCATTTACACATCTGAGTTGGGCACCCTGGCTTAAAAACACCACTGAAGCAGACTGCAGGGAGGAAGGCAGGATGTTTTCCAGGCCCTTATCCTCCGAGGGGTCAGACAAGAAGTTACAGGCTTGAACTGCAACACAGATGCTGTGGCTCAGACCTTGGGAAACCCCCTTCAATAGCAGGAGAAGTGACACCCTGGGAAGATGAGGGAACCTCCATCACTGGTGTTCTGCAAGAGCAGGCCAGCTGGCATCTACTGAGACTGAATCTGGTACAGTTTGTCCTGATATTGGGGCCAGGGAGTTTCCTTGATGGTTTTTTTGAGGTCCTTCTCAGTGATGAAGCAAGAACTGAGGAGAGACAACTCTAAAAAACACTTAAATATCACCAGGTGATGCTGCTTAACCCTACCTTTGTTTTGCAAGGGATATTTTGGAACTGTAGTAACAGATTTACTACTGTTGGCTACTGGACACTGTGATGTGTAATTCTAGTCATGAGTATCCAGGCATATTAGATCTGCTTATTAACAGTCCTTATTAGTTCACTTCAAAGGCTTTTTGTTGGCAGAGAAAATTAAGCATGGATATCACTGAAGCAAGCAAAGCAGTCTGAGCAAGAGCATCCATAAGGTCCCGTGCTGTTCTCTGCAGCGAAACTGATAAAAATGGATTGTTTCTTCTTTCCCTGATGCATGTCAGAGAAACATTTCACACTGAGGAATTCTCAAGTGTCTTGCTGAAAACACGCAGATGTTTATGTTGTACATTTTACAACTACTTTGTGTATTTGGCCAAACATAACAAACCTAAGGAGGGAAACAGAGGGAGGGAAGCTTAATTTTTACTGAAGTGTTCTGCACTTACCAGCTCTCAGGAGATGAAGGAGCAGTAACAGAAATCCATAACTAAAAGTAAAAGCAAACAAGAGTGTTACACATGATTGACTTTACAATCTCTCTTGTTTAAATAAGCAATAAACCCAGTATCGATTGTTTTCGTACAGTGGCAGGAGTAGGTAAATTAGATACTGCTACTATGTAATGCCCCATTAAGTATTTGCATTTTTGACAGCTGCAAAACTTCTGCTCATAACTGTGGGTGGGTGGCCAAGGCCATGAATAGCAGCAAAATGCACTAATATTGGAATCCGAGCACAGGGCATGAAGCTGGTGTTGTGCCTGTCTCCCTTGTGAAAAACAAACTGGATTGGCAAATGGGACAAAGATGGACAAACGGGCCCTGGAGGCTATCTGGGTCACTGGGAAGGACAGTGGATGCCCAGGTTGAAACCCAGGTTTTTCATACTTCTGCTGAAACTCAGGGAGTTGTGGTTTTATCTGATTAAAGGACAAAGAGCAGCTGACCGCAGTGCCCACCAGTTTGTGCACTCAGTAAAAATGTGTAAACAGGAAACGTGCTGATAGAGGGGAGCTGTGCAAAGGTTTTGCTGGAAAGAATTTGGTGTGTTTGGTTACTTAGGAGGGGCAAATCTATGCAGGAATTACCTGAGGGTGTTATAGGAAATGGATGCTATAGGAAAACCCAGTTTAACCTGTCTATAAAGTCCAAGTGACTTAACTGTCATCCCACAGGGCTTTAAGGAAGATAAATGCACAGCACTTTCTTAGGAGTTACTTTAAGGTAGCCTTTCACCACCAGGCCTAGTTACACATTGTGCCCTCCTTCCTCCAGAGTGCTGGGGGAAGTGAAAGGAAAGGTTTTGGCATGAGAGTTTTGGGGCCTACCTTGATATTGCCCCAGGTGCAATAAGGTTTGCAAAGCTGAGCTGATGGGCAGAGGGACATGAGCACTGGCTCGTTGCTGGTTTACTCATCTCACTCTTTCAAGCAAGCAGGACTGTGAGGCCACACTGCTTGGGGACAGCTCCCTTCCCTGGTTTTTCTCAGCCCTCATCCAGGTCCAACACTGAACCAGCCCTTGGCTGGGGCAATGGGTAGAGATGCCCCCAACAGTCCATGTCCAGCCAGGATAGAGCTCCAGGATCTCCCGCCCAGACCACTCACTGCCTTCCCTCACAACCCTGCCTGACCCTCCTCCCTCCAAGCCCTAACCTAAGCTCACTCCCCCAGCAGCCACTTCTCACCTCACTTTTCCCCATCAGCTGTGCTTTACAACATCCCTTCTCTCTCTCTTCCAAGCTTTCTGCCCTTTCCCACAGCTTCTGCTCCTTTGTCCAGCCAAGCATAGGAATTCATACTCCACTTCCAGGCCTGGTATCGCTTCTCCCCAGCTTTACTCCTACCAGCTTACCCAGACACAATGTGGGTCTCCTCTGCTGTGGAGGAGTGTCTCTAACTCCCACCTGCCCCCTCACAAAGATATAATCCCCCAAACATATTCAGCTTCCCATGGAGAAAGCAGAGAACATTTCTGACACAAAATCTACCTCCACTTGAAGCCCCATCTCCAGAGACTGAGATGGAGAACGTTTAGGGTAGAAGCACTCTGAACATTGTTTCTTTTATATGAAGGAAACACTTCATTTTTCTTTTCTGTGTCCTTTGAAACGGTTTCATAGATGAGGTTTCAAAAGTTTAAGTGGATGACCAGTGTAGAACACTTCTGCTCTACTACTTATTTTAGTGAATCTGCAGTCAGGCTTAAAGGAGCTCTCTTAAGTAATCATACCTAAACATTCCAGAGAGGCAGCTCTGCTCTGTTCTGTCTCTGGCAGTGACTTTTGTTGGCTTTTGCACGTGGCTTTGTTGTATTTTTATAATGCGCGGGAGTCATCGCTTTTGTGCCGAGCTTGTGGAGATCTGTCTCGATGAGCTCAGTTTAATGTAGTCCTTAGTCTTTCTTAATCCTGTGTTTGTTTTATCAGTCCCCACCCAAATGGAAGCTATGGATATAGCAACTCATTTAAATGAAAGGGTAAAACCAACTGACTGATCTTTATGGGACTCCTTAGGGAATTTCCCATGGTAGGCTTTTACTAATGCCAACAAACATTCAGATAATCAGCCAGAACTGATTCTCATATGTATGTATACAAAGTAGATCCTGATTTCTTATTTTAATAAATGATGCACAGCCAAGATTGGACAGATCTCATCCTCTTACTTGGAGGAGGTTGCAGCTGTGGTTATGCGGGGGCAGTGTCAACCCACCATAATTCATCTGGAATAGCATAAATTCCAAGCTCCTATTGGAAAAAGGGAGAAATGCTCTTGCCTGCAGCAGAACCTCTGTTTTACCTTCTGTGCACACTCAGCTCCTGTATACCCCACACTAGCAGTGAGCTCCAGTAAGTGCAAGTGTAGCTGCATTGGTTTCTTAAGTTCTCTCTGACTTTTTAAAAAGATATTTTAATTTTAATTTTTTTTCTCCCTTTTTCAATTCTTTCTCACACTTTTCCTCTTCTGCATTTTTTGTTGTTAATGACGTGTGAAACAGGAGAAAGTTGCAGTTCCCCTTTCATACATTTTTATTTGATGAGATTATTCTTTTCAACCAGCATTTTTTTCCATCACAACTCATCTTAGAGCCACGGAACATTGCTGCTCCGGCACAACTTTACCGGGCAAAAGATGTCCCAATGCTTGCAGTTACAACAACCACTTGAGATCCACTTTACCCCCTAACCTTGTAGCGACACGGCTCTTCTCGCATCAGCAAGTGCCCTGAACAAATTACCTGCAGAGCTTTTCTGACACCTGCCCTAAAGAAACGCCAGCCTGGGCAATAAAAACCCAGCTGAGTCATCTCTCATCGTTCACGTTCGGTTAAAAATCTCCATAAAATGGCTGTTAATTACCTGCAGCCCTCAAACGAGCAGAGAAAAGGGGTCCCTGCCCGGCTGACGGGGAGGGCTCTGGCAACACCCGCATCCCCTCTCCCGCGGCTCCGAACACCGGGAGCGCTGCGGGACCCGCCGGCAGACGGGAGCTGCCTCCGGGAGCCTTTGTTGTCCCAGCCGCTGTCCGGAGATCAGGAGGGGTCCCCTCGCTCCCGACTTCAGTCAAGCAGCCCACCCACGGCAGCGCTTTCCCTGCCCGCTGCAGCAGCGCAGCTCGGGTTTCTCTAAAGGGGGATGGATGTGCATCCCTGTCCCGGAGCCAGCCGGCGTGTTCCCCCCGTGCCCCAGGGATGAATGAGGGGGGTGGCAGGTCCCCTTTTCCCGCGGCCCCGGGTCACTACTTACCCTCGCGGCTTCATCGTGCCGAGCTGAGCTGAGCTGAACTGAACTGAGCTGAGCTAAGCCAAGCCGGCAGCTGCCCGCTCTGTGGGCCGTTCCGCTTTCCCTCCCCACGCCTCCTCCCGCCGGGGATTTCCGTGTCTGCCCTCCCGGGGCCGGTGCACGGCCAGCCCACATACCGGGGGCTGTGCGAACCCGGGACCGCCGGCACTGGCGATGAGGAGGGTCTGGGGCACTCGCCCATCCCCACCGGCCCCTTCCCAGAGCCTCGCCGGGGCCGCTTGGCAGGGGCTCCCGGTCCCCCGAAACCATCGCCTGTGCCCCTCACCGCCGTCTCTGGCGCTGCCAGGGAGGATTGGGGGGTCAGTGCCGGGCGCCGGGTTTTGGGATCGCACAGAAAAGAGCGGCATCGTCTTGGCCCTGCGAGGGGGCGGACCGGTCCCACGGCTCCCGGGGGTGGGCAGGGTACTGCACCCGGCAGCGCTCGGGGGTCCAGGGGACTGGAAAAGTTGTGTTTGAAAATACGTTGGGCCTATGATCACATAAATACAATGTATTTGTTACATATTTTTGTTTGGTAAATAGCTAAATGGGATTTGGTAGAGAGCGCAGCTGCGCCCGAGGGTGCGGTAGATAAGAATTCTGACAGAGCCGCGCTGGCGAGGGGTGTTGCAGCACCAGCCGGCTGTTTGAAAGCCGTGGTTCACAGTCTCAGCGGTTTCGTTTCTGGCTCCACATCGGCGGCTGTGTGTGGCTTGCCTTTTTTATCAGGTCCCTCAGCCCAGCCGGGACTCCTTTGCCGGCGTTTGCGACACGCAGCACGAAGCTGTCACAGCCTCGCTGCGAACGAACGGCACCGCTTCAGTGGCCGAAGTGTTTTATTTCTCCTTTGTTCCAGTCCCCCCTGGGAATAATCAGTTACTTTGTGCGCGATGAGAGTGAAGCTCCGGGGTTGTGCAAGACTGCAGCTCTCAATGCCCTTTCTGCTGCCAGCCAGCAACAAGAAGGGGGTCCTCTCAGTTTTGGGTCTTAAAGCTGCATTGCTTCAGCCTCTCTGCACATCACTGATACACTTCGAATTAGTGACAAGGTTGGGAGGGTAGACTTGAATTTATTCTAAATTTAAAGGAAAATAAACATTCTTATGGAACTGCTGCTTAATCAGAACATGTTGGCAGCTGCCAATTCATGTCTTTCACTGAAGCATTTCATGATGGGATATCCTAGTTTGGGAACTACTCTTTTGTTATTTTGGGTGCTTTAATAACAGTCACTTGGTAAACAGGGATGCACATGGAATCAGTTCTTTGTGGCTAAAAGCTTCCTGACTTCAAAAGCCTATGGTTTAACTTTATAAGCGAATTTTGACAGTCCTGGATATAAATTTGTTCTTTCTAAAATGCACTCTTCTGCTGTTCTGCTGCAAGGGTTTCTATCATGCTTTTTTCATACATGATGAATAAGAGCAGCCTATTAGCCACATGCATACCAGTTCTGGTGGAAAGGAGTTTCCCAGTAGGCAAGAAATACAAATATGTGTCCATAGCCAGGAGACTCTTTGGGATTTGGAAAGATCAGGTGCAAACCTCTTCACTGCTTGCACCAGGCTTTTGAATCCCTAATTGTTGTGTTGCCTGAATCCCTAATGAATTTTTATTCTATAAGGCAACCTTGTCTTGTATTTCCCTTCTAAATGATGTTCATTAAGGCCCGGCCTTAGGCAGGTCTTAAGTTGCTCCTACCTGCATAATTCCTCAGAGGGCTTGAAATGCAAGGATATTCTTCTGCCAGTGACTCCATTCCTATGGCATACACTGAACAACCCTGTGGTTAATAAAAGTAGGCTCTCATTGCCAAATCATTGCCATTACATATAAGATGTTTCTTGGGGAGTGCTCCCCCATTTTTTCCACACAACTGAAAGAGGAGAAGCAGCTGTAATGGATGATCATTGCAGCTGATGTGGTTCTGAATAACATCGAATAACAATGCATTTATATTCTTTTAGACACAGATTTGTTAATATGTCACTTGCCAGCAGTACCAGGGTATTTGACATAGGGTCAAAACAGAGATCTCAGTTACATGATCTTTCCCCTACAGGTATCTCATCAAAGATAAAATGAACAGTAACAGGTAAGGATGTTTGAAAAGCCTATGTGAAAAGTTTTCATTATCATAGATGAGACGTAGCTCCACATAACTACTACCATATGCCCATAGAAAAATTCAGACAGAGACATCTGAGTTCTTAGGGCGTTTTTAAAAACACCCAAATTGTTGGCAGCTGATTTGTCCTCTCTTTTGTGTGGCCACACCACTTGACACAAATTAAGGCATTTAAAGCTGCCAGGAGAAGAAACGAACTCATAAAGCTTGTGCTTGGCAAGTATGTTGCCTGTGGACTCTGAAACCAGAAACACTGGGAAGAACTGGGGAAAAACGAGGAAGAAAACAATATTTCAGTTTTTCTGGGCTGTGAGACAGAGAAGTGATCTACATAGCAGAGAGCTGGAGAGCTGTTTGTCTTCAAATGGGTGTCCTGCAAAGAGAACAGGTGGATCTGCAAAACACACACCTTTCAGTGTTGAGCTCATTAGCACAGTTATTAAGGATTTTGTGCAATTTTATGTATGGGTAAAGAACAAAAGCAGGTAAAAGGCAGAAAAGATTTTCCAACACTTTTCCAACACTTTTTTATTCTTTCTACAGAAAAGGTAGCAGAAATGGCAAATGGATGAGAGACACTGCATCTTAAAAATAGAGGATGAGGGGAGGACAGTGCACAAAAGCAAGTCGTTTCCTTGAATTATTGGAGACATCTGGGGTAATACAGCAAAGCGGAGTGCTAAAAAACAGAGTGGTGATGAAACAAGGGAAAAGATGTGATTACAAAATAAAATACTTTGTGATTCTAAGATCCTTCGAGATGGTGAGCTTGGCCTGAAGAAATGGAAAAGAACTGCCAAGAAATACTCTTGACAGAAGTGAATGAACTAAGGGAAAACAATAGTCTGTTTGTTTACTCTCTATCTCACATTTTGTTGTCACACTCAGGCCAAAAATATCACTTTTAACACCTAAATTCCAAGACTGTTCCATGCAAAAGAGGAAACTTGTGAGAAAACAGAGGGAACTGTAAAATACCTGTTTTGGCCAACACCTGCTCTGTGTACATGGCAGCAATGGCAATCCATTTATTTACACCCAGGAAAGGAAAGGACTGTGTTACATTCAGTTATGTTGTTAGAAAGGAGGACTGGTATTCACAGTTCTTTATTGGTTGTGCATATTCAATAGCTGATTTCCTGTTTACTTGAGAAAAGCAATGGAAAAAATAATTAGCAATACTTTTCCCTGCTCACTGTGTTGGGTTTGTTGGAAAAAAAAAAAAAAAGGATCAACAACAGTCTATAATTGCTGAAAATCTCTCTTCAGCCTCTCGTATTCTAGGCCACATTATCCTGTGTGGAGTGATCCCAAATAGAAGAGTGCTCTTGCTGTCTGAATTGCCCTCTGCTCTTTTCCTCAGCTTCGTTTCTGCCAAATACACTTTTCTTTGATCAGAAGTGGCAAAGGCTCCTCTGCTAAGGACACTTGATAATGCATCAAAGAAACTGTTGGGGAAATGGAGTTCACAGATTTTAGAGTGTGAAACGCCTTCTGGAGAAGGAGATTATTTTCTTTTGCCCATGTTCACTACATTAACAATAAGAATGACAAGAGAGTGAGCACAGCTGAAAAACAAATTCAGAATCAAGTCAGATGCAGATGCCTTTAGCTAAGGAAGAGATGGAGCAGGTTGTCTGAGACCATCCAGCAGAATTTTTCCTTCTCCAAAAGGAATATGTTGGTTTTTAGGGTGACTTCTCCAGGCATGGGATTTCTTATCCCACATAACACACAGCAAAAATAAAATCCTTTGAGCAATTAAAAAAAAAGTCAGTTACAGCTAAGCCTAAATCCCAGTGACTGGCAAACTCTCTACTGAGAGGATGAAGAAGGAGTTCCTGATGCATATATTGACTAATCTCTTGTTTGAACTAAAGCAAGATATGTAGGTATATATATACAGGAACAAAGGTGCACAGAACCTTCCCAAACCAAATTCAAACCTCAGCCTTCCCAAACTGTAGTAAGATTAGACTCATAAAATTCCATACAGTTAAGATGTCTTTGTTCCTGATCATCATGATCTTCTGTGGAAAGAGCTAATTAAATTTTCAGAGAAAATACTCAAGAGCCATCTCAGCAATAGCTGGACAGGTGAGATATTTCTCAAATACAAATACACATATATAAAGTCTCAAGAGTAAAATTTACTCCAAGGACATAAGTATAAAATGCAGTTGAAGTGTTTTTTTGTACAAACTGAACATTTTTGTTATGTATCTCACTGAACATCAAGAATTTTAAGAAGCAGATTAAAGCAAAAAAATATTTGTAATTTTATAGATGTAATTTTAACTTGTTTATGTTTTTGATTATATCAACATTACATTGCTAAAGTAAGTGAGCTCTGATTTGAAATTATAAAGCATATATTAAGCATGGGTTTGGAAATTGATATAGTGTTCCAAGCTGGCAGTCTAAATGGACCTTATAGAAAGGTATTTTAAGAACAACAGGTATAATAAATAATATTCTTAAAACAACATTAGAAAGCAAATATGCATCTGTCCTTCTATAAGCCATTGCCATGAACTACAGAATCTAGCAAATTTTTGGAAACTAATCTCTGATGTGAAAATATTCCTTCCTGAAGAAAAACACAGTTGTATTCCTGGATACATTAATGTCAGAGCAAAACAGTGCCCATCACATACCTAAAATAGTGTTTTAACATTGTCTTTAGAAAATGTAGAAGTGTTTATTTCTCCTCATGGCACAGTCAAATAGCAAACCATGTAATGCAACAGGATATGATACGGGTGCCAAGCAGTGAGAAAGAGGAACTGAAATCAGTATGACTTGATGCTGTTTATTGAATTATTTGATAAAGAAAAATGTTACTACTCCTAGGATTTGATGAGGTTCGTTTTTATGTAAAAAGCCGTTCTGGCCCTTATATGACTGAAAAAATTCCCTCTGATACCACTTGAAATACAAAGTGTAGATACAGCATAATGTGGCTTTTGAAAATGTGGTGGT